TGATATTAATTGTAGAAAATTTGTGAATGATCTTGCAGGATATGGTAAATGAGTTATAATAGCGACAACTGCCGTTGTGTACTTATACTTTAGGTCAAATTGAACAAAAAAGTCCTCTACCATTTTCCAAATAATCACATAGATTTTTAATTATTAATTAAAGAAGATGGGTGCATTTTCACGCAAAATCGTGCAATAATCTTCTTTAATTAATAATTAAAAATCTATGTGATTATTTGGAAAATGGTAGAGGACTTTTTTGTTCAATTTGACCTAAAGTATAAGTACACAACGGCAGTTGTCGCTATTATAACTCATTTACCATATCCTGCAAGATCATTCACAAATTTTCTACAATTAATATCACGATAATTATTACGAATATCGCAAAACGGTATAGGACTTTTATGTTCACCTCAACCTGTTCTACATTCCCACAAAATGACCGGAGGAGAGTGTGAAACACCCTGTATATAACAGATTTATTAATATAAAATATTTTTGAAATGAAAAAATATATTTTTTTAAATCTTAAGAAAACCTTAGCTTTTCATAAAAGCAATTATTTATTATATTTAAATAAAAGAATTTAGACTTAAGTAGACATGTTATTAGTATCCACTAAAGAAATATTATTTTTTAGGGTTTTTTTCTTTTAGTGTGTGATATAACTCCCTGAAATCCTCCAATTGAACCTCAGGTTCAATGAAATTTACAGAGTTGACGTACAATCAGAATTTCGACTCGTTTGAATGTGTATTCCCATAAGATTTATTTTCTTTTTATTATTGAGACAGATATCTCAATGGATCACACGTTTTACGTGTTGGATGTCTTGAAATTTTTCTAACTTGCCTATCCAGTTCGCTCGCTTGCTCGTTCTCTCTCTCTCTCTCTTTCTCTTTCCCTCTCTCTCTCTCGTTTTTCTTTTTCAAGGCGCGATGTATCGTCACGTCAAGTTTTTCCAGTTCCGCTTTTTGTGCCCCGTTATCGCGATGATGTTATCGAATGGCGAAAGATTTCAAAGTACACGCGCGTCCACACTCGGAATGCGCAGGCGAATGTCAGACACGGTAATTAATGCGCCGGGATGCATACGCGAGCGCACGTGGGGAATTCATGTTTCGAAGTATCCCGGAGATACCTTTTACGGAAGATAGATTGATATATGGGATGTGTTTCCCGGAAGAGAGAGAAAGGAAGAAAGAAAGAGAGAGTAAAATAGAGGGAACGAGAGAGATAGATAGATTCAGGGAAAATTCCGCAGAAGTTAACACACGTGCAAACGTAGGTGGCTCGAATGAGAGTAAAAATAAGGTGACTAGTTTTCCCAGCCTGAAATCTAAGACACTTAATAAATGTGTCGAGCAAGGAAGGCGGAGAGGATAAAAAAGTTAACGAAAACTATATATATACATGGTGATTCGTATAAGGTAACCGATTTAATTATTAGCAAAATTTGAAGACGTAAAAAAATAATTTATGCTCAGTACAAAGGGGGACATCATATGGTAGAAACGGTTAGTTTATGGGTGGAGGCGTTGAAGACATTTTAAGGTCAATTTCATTTTTTTTTCATATCAACATATATCCAGAAATCCATCGCCTCTGATCCCCTAGAGTTGTGGAAAAAACTCCACTTTCTGTCCACCGTCTAAACTTCAACTTCTATTGGTATATTAACATAGTGCATTATAAAAATGCGTACTTTTCATTTTTGGTGCTAAACATTTTTTTTTAATTTCTTAGACGGAGATTTTTGAGGAAGAGTCTACATAAAACGTAACGTCACCTTAATAAAAAGGGATAAAATTGAACGAATTAAAAACTAACGAGATTATGTCTTTGTCTTTTAAGAAACGCGCGAGAAGGAACAAGGATGAACAAGCGTGTCCGCGTTGAATTAGCGTAAGATGCGCGCGTAATCGCGCGAGTGCGGAGCGGCACTCGCGAAATTTCGCGCGGTTTCAACAGTGCGGGTTGTACGGTTCTGATGGCGAGGGAGGAGGGCAGAGGGGGAGTTATAAATCACTCGAATCTCGTTCGGCGAGAGCGCAAAATCACGAGGCGCGAAACGCGATCGAGGAATCGATGCGCGTTCCGCCTCTCATCCCTGTCTGTTCGGCCACCATCCCCGCGAAATATCGAGAGCGTCGGTGGGTGGTTGATGGGATTCGTCAGACCGGCGGCGGGGGCGGGTTGCAATCCTTTTGATCCTCTTTCTGTTGCAGTTGTGTGCGGCGTCGGCGTGGATGTGGCGTACCATCGACACGTCATGGGGCTTTACGTTACGTGAGGATAATTCAACATGCGTATACCGTAATTCAATTCACGCATTATCAGCCTCCGATCGCGATCGCGCCGACAAACGCGAGAGACTGCTGTGTGAAAGGAGAAAGAGGAATCGGCGAGATTCGAGGGAGGAGAGGCGAGTTGTCGTTTTGCGACGAGATTGAAGCCTCCCCTTCCCATCCCTGCTTCGTCAAACTTCAATCCATTAAACGCCATGATTATTTGACAAGTATTTTTAGTCAAGGGATCAGTCAGTTTAATTATCAGAAATCTCGGATTAATACAGTGAGAGAGAGAGAGAGAGAGAGAAAAAAGTATGCATTTTATTTTATATTTCGAGTATTTTATTTTTATTTTAGGAGCGTGTAGATATAGCTAGGGAATTAAGTAATTCGGAGAAACGTAAAAGTAAAATCATACAAATGGAGAGAATTTTATAATAAAAATCTTAATATTAAATTCTGTAATCGCGAGGAGTAGATCGATATTCTGTAATAATGGACTATCCTTTTATTTATCCTGAACTTTCTTTTATCGATGAAACTGAAATTTATACAAAAAAGAAACTATAATATTCTCTCCGTGTATTAAGCAGGTGATTCGATTCAATATAAGGGAAATGTTCCACAAATGAGACATTGGCCGCGTTAATGGTTTAATCGAACCAAACCGTAGTTTCGACAGAGTTTAATTTCACGTGGGAGGTCATATCGTCGATTCCTCTTAGCCCGTTGATTTCTCGCGAGTGCGATCACTCTTGCCTATTCGTGTAGGAAGAACTTACACATCTGTCGCGTAATGCATTCTACGAGCGCTTTCATACGCGATGTTCTTTCGGTAAATCGCGGTTACATCAGTCAGTGGCATAAAAATTGCAACACTTCTATTCATGCGTATCTAATAAGAGGGATCTTGCTTCTTAGCAATCCTCAGAGATTTTCCTATTAGATATCAGGCGGTATTCATCGAACTAAAAGCGTTGCGATCTTCGAACATGTCAGGTGTTACTTCAGTCTGAGTCGTCGATTTGGGAGTATCTAAAATTGTATATCTAAAATCGTGCGTGGATCTTGCGATTTACAATTTTAGATGCGGAAGATCTACGATCGAAAGTGCGCCCAACAAGACGATCAAAGGCGAGAGTCTAGGGTGACGCAGGTTGTTATTTTTGGATCCTCACGCGAAACTCACCGCGAAACTCCCGCGTAGACTGCTGTGTAAACAACGAAACACTTATGTATTTATTAAGCTAGAATCATACGCACGATTTCATATCTTCTGACATGTATGCTGCGACAACTCTCAGTTCACTGCAGTGTAGATCTTCCAATGCACGATGACGACTCATGCAGTCAACTGAACTGCCTATCAGCATGCATGTAGCATCACAGGTTGTAATTCATTATATGCTGCAAAAATTTCGAAGCACCGTATAGACCAATTTTGGCTTTCCTTTAAAGATTTCAAGGCATTTACAGCGTTTACACACCTCTAGATAAATAGAGAAGTAACATTGAAAAGGTGAAATATGTCGAAAAGCCGTCATCTTGTTTCTCCATATTCGACAGACATGACCAATTGAATTTCATATTGAAAGAAGATATGTGACGGACAAAAAGTCAAGGCAGAATAAAAATTTACATGAAGACAAGTACTTACGTTATAATTAATAGTTGCTTACTTATAACTTCAACTCACTAAGGACAACTAACCTAACTAACTAACTAACCGGTTGTTCCAGCTTCTTAATAAGTTATGTGATAGTTAAATCATATGTCTGTCTTTGTTTTTCTTTCAACTTAGACAGACATATGATTTAACTATCAGTTAACTTATCAAGAAGTTGAAATAACCTCTAAATCAAGTTGCAACAGTTATTTTTCTGTAACGTCAACTACGTATATTCCACTTTATCATTAACCTTTATTCGTTCACTAAAAGACGACATGACGCTGAGGCATGTCACTCAATTGACCTATCAGACATCCTTAATGTCACTTCTCTATCTCTTTTTTCTTCTATTTTTCTCTACCTATTTAGGTCCCATGTAAGTAAACAGGATGCATGTAAGAAGATATGAAATCGTGCATCGTATGATTCTAGCTTAACGTTAACGACGAGTGGAATGATGCACGCTCGGCTTACAGGGAGGCCAAGGCGAGATCCTAATTTATCCGCGGCCTCCATTATACTCCACCGGAGCTTTTACGGCTTCCGGGCGTATTCTCGCTGCGCGGTAACTGCGATTCCCAGGCCGGGATCCACTTTGTTAAGCGCCATACATAATTGAACGTCGTCACGTCGAACGCTCGTGAAAATCTTTTGCGCGATCTTTTCGTTTCATCCGCCTCTTCGTTCCCTTTTTCTTCCCCTTTCTTTCTCTATTCCGCGCGCGACTCAATTCCGCGACCCCGAGAGATCTAATTCGGTCGCGATTAGATTATCGACGACCGGGAACGGACGGAAGCGCGGCGACTGGAATGAGATTATCTTTAAGGCGGTATTTACTCGGCTACCGGAGAGAATGAAGAAGTTCCGACGGGGAATCTTATCTCACCCGGACCGCGGTGCTGTAATTTCTCGCAAAAGGGACTCTCCAGCGTTCGCGCCCGAATGCGCAACGCTGAGCTGCCGTGTTATAAGCGTTTTGAAAAAGTGAAACGCTAATCGCCTTCGTTGCTACATCAGGTCCATAATGCATGATAGTACATCATCGTCCATTCACCCACCCATCCACACGTGCACACACTCGCTGGTCAAATTTCCGTTTTCAATTTATATTAACGACAACGCAATCGCGCACTCGACCGCATTAACGTTAACGGTGAAATCGTCCCGCAAAATATCGCTTGCGGAAACAATAGCTCTTAATTACATATTCTTCCCTTTTGCCGCGTATCCACTGCTGGGCACGCCCGCGTTTTCCTGCGCAAGAGAGAGAGAGAGAGAGAGAGAGAGAGAGAGAGAGAGAGAGAGAGAGAGA